CAAACCGTGCTGGCGGTGTTTGACTCGAGAATTTCTAGCGTATGAAATTTTCGTGATCTGTAGGTGTACTTCGGGGACGTCTTCGCATTGGTGAGGGTCGCTAAAGTATGCCCCCCCTCGAAAAATCGGCTCCGTCGACGTTGCTCACCATCGATGGGGACCCGAAAAAATGACGCAATGAGGAGCCTGGGGCGGTATGGTAGAGGTCAGGGGGAAAGAGGGGGTTACAAGGGAAAGGAGGAGTGAAAAATGGGAGGGGGAGGAGACTGGAGAAGGGTTGGAGACACGGAGATGGGAGGAGGATGTGGGGAGATTTTGAAGCTCAAGGGACGGTAAGCAAGGGAGGGGAAGAGGGCGACAACGAGGTGAGGGAAGTGGGAGATGGCGAGGAGATTGATATTGGATGCGCAGCAAGGGACGAATGTCTCACGCTGAAGAATTCACCATGCACTCTCCCTCAGCAATTTCCCCTCTCGCACCCCTCACTCTCTCGTTCCCACACTCTCCATTTCCCTACCAGGTCACTCTCAAATTCCCCATGTTTCGCACACTCACAACCAACCTCCCTGGATCCCTCACTCACGCCCACAATAAACATGCTACCTACACCCGCCCTCCATACTCTCTCTCTCCCCCAACCCCCCGTTCACTATCAGGACCCCACACATAAGCACTCTCCCTACTTTCGGGCCCCACTCCCCTCCTTCTCGAGTCCCCCTCTCCCCCAACCCCATACACATGCAGTACCATTGCTCCTCCACCCACCTCCCATCTCCCATCATCCACCTCCCATACCCCACCTCCCACCTGACATCTCCCATCTCCCATCTGCCATCTCCCATCTCCCTCCTCCCTTCTCCCTCCTGTCAGCTGCCATCAATCATCTGCCATCTCCCATCTGCCATCTCCCATTTGCCATCTCCCATCTCCCATCTGCCATCTGCCATCTCCCACCTCCCATTTCCCTCCTCCCACCTCCCACCTCCTGTCTCCCATCTCCCACCTCCTATGTCCCATCACCCACCGAGCATACCCCATCTCCCACCTCCCATTTCCCACCTCCCTTCTCCCATCTCACCCTTTTAATTCTAGAGGATACCCCTGACCAATTGCTGTCCCTTGCGTACCTGGGCTGCCCTGTTGTGTCGCCCCCAGCCTCTGAGGTGCATTCAGACACATGCTCGGCTTGGCTTCTAGACTCGCCCTCTCCTCCTTCGATCACAATCTCCACTTGCTCCTCAACTCCACGCATGTCTCGCCTCTCCCGTGGTGGGCTGGTCGTTGTCTTGCCCTCTCCTCCCTCGATCACAATCTCCATTTCCGCCACGTCTAGCCCAATGGTGGTTGGTCGTCGTCTCGCCCTCTCTACTCTGGCTGGTTGCAGCTTTTGCCTCACTTGCTTGAAGTACGCAAAAAGTTGCAGTTGAGCAACGCGCACAAGGGAGAGATGGAACAATTCAGATAAGGGCAGAACGTATGCATGTGGGCAGCTCTCAACAATGTCAGAGATTTTACATATGGGGCTGGTCTTACAGTGTGTATAGAGGAAGTGCTTTGAATGATTGTGGTGTTGTGTGCGGCGTTGGTCTTGCCCCATCGTGCACCACCCCACGCGAATACCCTCCTCTCCTCCTTCACTTTCCCTTTGCGGTCCAAAGTGCATTTCGGAAAGCCGTAATTGAGCCCTCCTATGGTGTGTGGCTCCTGTTGTCTAACATCAAGGGGCATTCCTGGTGCTCCCTTCGAACTCTTTCCCGCAGGCGGCCATTCGCACTTCCAAAATTGCACTCGCCCGGGCGTCATCGGAGCCTAGAACGTTCCCACATTAGGACATTAAACTACATTGGAATGCATGCAGCGTGCACAGTGGTCATGCTAAAAGTCATCGCCTACCCGCTTTGATGGTCGCGGCTACTAGTTTTCCTATTGCCTCCACACCCGTCGTCAGCAAGAAATACACAAGGTCGGCGAGTGTCATAGACTGCTTGTTGCCCATGAGGGTAGTAAAGCTACATTGTAAAAAAAACGATTGGAAGTTGCATGTTCTTGGAGATTGCTAGGTTCCTTGTGTCCTTGTTCCCGACAATATCCTTCCCCTCCTCTTAATCCCCTCTAACCATTTTGCTTCCTGCGTCGCGCCCAAATAAAGGCCTTGTGGAGGGGCACGTGTTGATTGGTTCTTTGAAACCTACTGCTGTCTAGGCATGCTCAATTCCCGTATTACGAACCCTGCCTTGCGCTTCAGAGCAATAACGCACTGGCAATTGGAGTTGATGTGCTTTTTTTCAGCCCACGTGCACTACTGTCTACCTTGGCTTCCCTCAGGCCTACGGAGCCATAGTCAGCTTACCTGTAGCATGCTTGGCTAGTAATCTACTATACTTGGCTGGTTTATCTCAGGCTGTGATGCGGCCGTGAGTTTGGATAGGGGGGGGTGTAATGTGCCTGGCTAGTAATCTACTAAAATTGGCTGTTTTTTTGTCTCGAATTCCCACGTGTTTCTTATGCTGGTCGTTTTCTCCCACGCACCAGGGGGTGTAATGTGCCTGGCTAGTAATCTACTAAAATTGGCTGTTTTTTTGTCTCGAATTCCCACGTGTTTCTTATGCTGGTCGTTTTCTCCCACGCACCAAGAATTCTATCTCTTTCATTGGTCAACGAAATGTGTATGGTTTCGTTTCTGTCTTGATGTTTCGTTGGGCAGTGAGCAGAGAGGTTTTGCATTTCGCAAACAATTTGGCGTCCTAGTTGGAGAGCTTTCCATTGCTTGCTCAAGCAATGCACATATCGATTATAAAAAAAATCCCACTTCGTAGGGGCGGTCGCTGGTTGGCAGGCATCCATTACCCCTTTGTTACACAACCGTGCTTGTGTTGTTGGGTTCTTGTTACATCGCCCTGCGAATCTGCCTCGTTGTTGGTGATTGTGGCCCCATGGGGGTGTTTGTTGCGTTAAATGTACCCCCCAATGAGTAGGTTGGCATGTGCTGCGCACGGGGAAGCATTTGGCGAATTTCCAGATTCTCACAATCCCCGTCACGAATTTGCACCCTATCTGAAGAAACCAGATGCTCGTCAGCCAATCAACCTAGATTCCCCCCCCCAGCCTATCTTCTCAATCCTCTAAACTTCCATGGCGACTCCTGGTGCGGTTCACCTCACGTGTAGGGAAGCTCGTCGTTTTCTCCTCATCGTCTCGCTACATCACTCTTCAAGCCCGCCATTTGGGTCTGCATCATCTGCATCAGAGCCATAACCTCGTCCATCTTGATTCACGATGCGGATGCTTCGCCTAGCGGGCGTGTTATGGGGTAGTTTACTGTTCACATGGTATTTACAGCAGTGTTCATCCCATCCCAACCTTACCTCCTCACAATCCAACTCAGATTTCCAACCGCCACATGGCTCTCTAGTTTCTCCACATAATCCCATTCTGTCCCACAAACCATTTTCCCACAACCGTTCTTGCATGCTACATAAACCTTGCTTTTATTCGCCAATATCATCTATCATTTACCCGGTTACTTCTTTGCATACTTCGCCAACAACTTCTTCACCAAAGTCTTCCGCCACGCTTTTTCCTCGATTCAACCAACTCCGCTATTCTCCAGCGGATTTTGGCCAAGCGGCCTAACACTTGGTATCCAGAGCTTGGTGGGGAGCGACTTCCAACGAGCGACCGTCGACGACGAGACTACACCATCATCATCGCGCGTTGTCGACTTGCAGACTTGGAGTCGTCGAGCCGACCATGGACACCGCCATGGCAACTCAACCCCAAGACATGGGCAACGTGCTTGCCACCCTCATGCAACAACTTGAGGCACTGATGCTTGAAAATCGTCAGGCACAGGTTGAAATGCAGCAACTTCGTGAATTGGCTTCTTCTAACCCCAATGGCCATGCTGCACCAACTCCTGCACCCACTACGTCAACTGCTGTGGAAGCGCTGCCGGAACGCCGAACAACGCTGAAGCCGCAGAAGCCGGAGCCGTTCGACCCAAGTTATCACGACACAAACGTGCGGACATGGATCTTCATGCTCAACAAGTACTTCAACGCAAGCGGGGTGCAAGAGGCAGACGCGTAGCAGCGAATCGAGTACTCCGTGATGCTGCTGAGGGGCCCGGCCTTGGAGTGGTGGTGCCAACTCACACAAACTGTTGTAAGAAGGGCTCACGTAGACACGCATCAGCAGGGCGAGCTTAGGTAGTCTAGCTTTGGGTGTTACTACGGTTCCAACCACACGGGGAGGATTAGAAGCGGCGCGGAAAGCTAGGTTCGATTTGGTGAATGCCTTTGAAGCTGTTAGGAAGCGCCTGCATCATTTCCGTCAGATAGGAAATGTCTAGGAGTACACACGATGATTCTTGAGCCTCTGCAACGAAATAGATGACATTACAGAAGCAGAGATGCGCGATCGCTACCTCGAGGGGTCAAGGTCGAAGCAGAAGTCATAGCTGTTCACGGATTGTCCACCTTCGAGGCAGTAGTTGCCAGCAGCAGAACACATCGACGCAGTACGAAGCCGACGGGGTCGTGACGATCGCAATAGGAGGTACAAGAATTCGGTCAACGATACTCGCTCGAGGGACGGACCATCACCCATGGAGATTGGTGCAGTTAACAGTGATGGCTTACAAAGTCCAAGATTTAGAGGGAACTGTCACTACTGCAAAAAGTCGGGACACATGAAGCGAGACTGTCCTCAGCTTAAGGAGCGGCAGTAGGGAAACGGAAACCGCCAATAGATAGCGGGTCGCTAGCTGGTGTGCAGGCTTCCGTACCCGCCCATTCTACCCATGTCGAGGAGACAGCCTTAGAGCAATCATCTACGCCAAACAAGGTAGACGGTGTTGATCGGCCAGTCGTGCTTCTCGGGAAGCTTCGTGGAGTTTTATTTAAGATTCTCGTAGATAGCAGATCTAGTCACTCGTTCGTTTCTTTGTTGCTAGTTAGTTGTCTCAATCTTGAAGTGAATTCGTCTTGCAACTTCAAGGACGCTCGCATGGTAGATGGGATGCCACTTCACATAGGTCCAGTCATCCGCAAGTTGCACGTAGTGCTAGGACCGATCACAGTTTGACGAGAGTTCGATTCTGCGATGCTGGACGATTATGACTTCATCTTTGGTAGAGATTGGTTACGGACAGTAACGACTCAGTTCGATTGGGCTCAGGGCATGTGTATGGGGAGTTCCGGGAGCTGCCAAAGTGGAGCGATGCGGCCATATCCTTTGCAGGTGTCATCAATGCTGTCCGTGTGCGGCAGCTGGTGAAGCGAGTGGTACGGATCTTCGCAGTCTTCCTTGAGGAGGTTGAAGCTGAGGAGGAGAAACCAAGGAGCGCATCAGTTGGAAAGAAGACAACTCTTCCCGCTAAAGTGAGTGCACTCTTAGCGAAGTTTGTAGACGTCTTTCCAGACGAGTTGCCCCCAGGGTTACCTCCTAGCAGAGCAGTGGACCATCGAATAGAGTTGGAGCCAGGGAGCAAACCAGTAGCGAAGCTGCAGTGGAGGTTGTGTCCAGCTGAGACAGAGGAGATGATGAAGCAGGTTAAGCATTTCCTAGCACAGGGTTTCATCCAGCCGTCTAGATCTCCTTGGGCAGCACCGATCCTATTCACACCTAAGAAGGACGGAGGGTTAAGGATGTGTATCGATTACCGAGCATTGAACGCCGCCACCGTCAAGAATAGGTTCCCAGTGCCGAGGGTAGAGAATCTTCTAGATGCACTGCAAGGCGCTAGAATCTTCTCCAAGATCGATCTTCATCCAGGATATCATCAGATTCGAGTATTTCCAGAGGATCAGGATAAGACAGTGTTCCGTACGAAACAGGGGGTGTACGAGTTCAGGGACTTGCCATACTGATTGACCAACACCCCAGCAACGTTCCAGATGCTCATAAATAGCGTGCTAGCATCGGGTCCTTTGTTGTAGTCTACTTAGACGAAATCCTTGTCTACTCCAAGATGCCAGAAGAGCACGTAGAGCACCTACAGACAAAGAACTGCAGAGCTTTCTTGGGTTCCTGAACTAATACAGCCGATTTGTTCAGGGCTACGCATCCATCGCTAGTCCACTCGTCGACCTACTGCGTAAGGGGGTCGAGTTCTGTTGGGGTCCAGCGCAGCAGCATGCATTCGAGCAGATAAGCAGTCTCTTACATCCTCACCGACTCTTTCATACCCCGATCCAACTCGCCCGTACGTAGTAGTGACCGACACATCAGATCAGGTCATCGAAGCCGTACTTCTTCAGGACCAGGGCCGCGAGTTGCAGCCGATCGCGTACGAGTCACGCAAGCTGAGAGGAGCAGAGCTGAACTATCCGATCCATGACAAGGAAGCGCTAGCGATCATCCAAGCGTACAAGGTATGGAGGTGCTACCTAGAGGGGGCAAATAGTACCGTACGCACAGACCATTGCTCATTAAGGTTCCTCAAATCCCAGCCGCAGCTGAGTCGCCACCAGGCTAGATGGATGGAGTTCATGGAGGGGAGTTTCCACTACAGGATAGAGTACAAGACAGGCGTGCGCAATCCAGCCGATCCACTCACTCGCCCTAGTTGCCAGGTCGCTGGTCTCACAGTCACTGCTGGCCATCCATTTCTCAAAGCACTCTTCAAGCATGGATACACAGTAGATCCAGACTTCACACCACAGCCGCCTGCAGGGTAGTGTCTACATTCGGAAGGGTACCTCACGGATTTGGGTTCCCACCTACCGCCCTCTTCGCCAACTCCACTCTCAGAGGCGCACGACGTAGTTAGTGCATATCATTTTGGGGCAGATAAGACAGTTAAGATGCTTAGTCGCACATACTTCTGGCCAGGGCTTGCAAGCGACGTATGTAGATGATTACATTCGCTCGTGCAATAATTGTCAGCGCACCAAGTCCTCTCGCCAGCGTAAAGCCGGACTCCTCCAACCGGTTCCACCACCCGACCGTCCTTGGCAGGTAGTTACGATGGACTTCATCACGGCCCTACTGCGGACAGTTAGAGGTCATAATGCCATCTTCATCGTAGTGGATAAGTTTTCTAGAGCAACGCACTTCATCCCCACGCACGGCAAGGTCACAGCAGAAGAAGTCGCGGCGCTGTTCGTAGATAACGTAGTTTGACTGCACGGAGTTCCAGATTCCATCATCTCCGACCGCGATCCTCGTTTCACCTCTAAGTTTTGGAAGCAGCTCTTCGCTCTCTTTGGGACTCGCTCAGCTATGTCATCAGCTTATCACATAGAGACAATTGGGCAGACAGAGCATGTCAACCAGAACTTGGAGCAGATCCTTCGCAGCATCACCATGCATGATGTAGCAGCTTGGGACAATAAGATGAGCATGGTCGAGTTCGCCTTCAACAACACGCATCACTCGTCCACATGCATGTCACCGTTCTTCGCACTGTACGGTCAGCACCCCAATGTCCCCACTCGTGTCGACATCACACCCACAGTCCCACGTGCTGACAGCTTCCACGAGCATCTCACCTTCATTCACGATCACGTGAGGAAGCACCTTGAGCTCGCTAATGCATGCATGGCATGCACCACCAACCGTAGTCGTTGTGACGTGTCCTTTTCCGTCGGAGATTGAGTGCTTCTCAATAGCTAGAACCTTTGTCTCACGCAGGATAGCAAGTTCCGCCCTCGTTTTATTGGTCCATTCGTCATTGAGCGTGTCATAAGTCCAGTTGCATGTCGCCTTCGCCTTCCTGCACACTTTCGCATGCATCCTACCTTTCACGTATCATTCCTTCGTCCTAACACCGATCCCAACACCGCCTTCTCAGATCGTGATCGCACTCCACTGCCGGTAGCCGTTGACACTGACGAGCCTGACTACCAGATCCGGCATATCCTCCGTCACCTTTGCCATATTTAGAGGGGTGTCTCCTTCCTCAACTTCTTGGTTTGCTGGCGTGGATATGACGCAGCTGACACAGCTGGGTTCCTTCGGCTTCTCTGTCTCCTGATAACTCGTGCCTCCAGGCATATCTTCAGGCTGCAGGCATCGCGGACATCGCCTCCTTGGGAGGGGGGTAGTGTTACGGGGTAGTTTACTGTTCACAGGGTTTTTACCCTGACAGCACCCTTCATCCCATCCCAACCTTATCTCCTCACAATCCAACTCAGATTTCCAACTACCACGTGGCTCTCTAGTTTCGCCACATAATCCCATTCTGTCCCACAAACCATTTCCCCACAACAGTTATTGCATGCTATATAAACCTTGCTTGTATTCGCCAATATCATCAAGTATTTACCCGGATACTTCTTCGCATACTTCGCCAACAACTTCTTCGCCAAAGTCTTCCGCCGCGCTATTTCCTCGATTTAACCAACTCCGCTATTCTCTAGCGGATTTAGGCCAAGCGGCCTAACAACTACCCCCTCATTACACAATCGTGCTCGTGTTGTTGGGTTCTTGTTACATCGCCCTGCGAATCGGCCTCGTTGTTGGTGATTGTGGCCCCAGGGGGGTGTTTGTTGTGCTAAATGTACCCCCCAGCGAGTAGGTTGGCGTGTGCTGCGCACGGGGAAGCACTTGGCGAATTTCCTGATTCTTGCAAACCCTGTCGCGAATTTGCACACTATCCGAGGAAACCAGATATTCGCCGGCCAATCAATCTAGATTTCCCCCCCCTCCCCCAACCTATCTTCTCAATCCTCAACTTCCATGGCGACTCCTGGAGCAATTCACCTCACGTGTAGGGAAGCTCGGCGTTTTCTCCTCATAATATCTCTACATCACTCTTCAAGCCCGCCATTTGGGTCTGCATCATCTGCATCAGAGCCATAAGCTCATCCATCTTGATTCACGATGCGGATGCTTCGCCTAGCGGGCAGGGGAAAGGCCGTGATAAGGAACCACACGGCCGCAAACACGTTTGTATTTGTGTGAGCTAAAAGATCTAGCTTACTGTATACTCCCGGATATAAAAGCATATGTGCTTATAATGGAACCCCTTGCAAAATCACCTGCGCTTATAATCGATTTTTTTTATAAGCACATAGGCTAAATAAAAGTACCGTAAGCCAAACTGTAGCTCTTATAATTTCTCATCGAATGGGCCGAATTTATATGGGGGTTGCGTTGATGGTTTTTGTAGAATCTGCTCACGAATCTCCCGCGAGCAAATCCTTGCTGGAATCTAGCCAATCGGAGCCGAAATCGAGCGAATTGACATAGCGAAAATTGCGCGCTTGTCTCAAGAGGTGCTTGGGAGGGATGGCACACGATATTTCAATACAAAGAAATCGTGTTTCGCTCATTTTTCTAGAAGTGTTATGCGCATGTAATAAACGCATCATTTTAAAATGTGCGCCTATAATGAAATTAACGGATATAAGCGTGTTTGCACTGCATGAAGCGATCCAATATAGTCCATAGGATCTTCAGGATTGAACTGTAGTCGTGTGCTTTGCAGAAGCGATTGATTGGTTGATGAACCATGTCATAGTGAATGTAACATTACAGTGTTGATTATAGCAAAGGGATACAGGGTTTATATAGAGATACACGAGAATGCGAATGGTCTAACTAAGATGCACTTAACAAGGGTACATTCCCTATAAGGTTCCAGATTTGACTCGGGTAACTGTACACGACTCGGGTCGTTCATGCTATTTTACAGGGCCAGTTATGTGTCCTGGCTGTTGTGACGGACCCTTGGACTTCTGTCAGTTCGGCTCTCGGTCAACGGTCAACGACCGCTGCACTTCGTGCATCGAGTCATAAGCTTGGACTCGAGAAGGGTTACGGCTCGAGTGTCACCTTATCGTAACACTCCCCTTCATTATTGAAGGTGCTCAAGTTTGGTGCGCTTCGAGATTCCACAGAGCTCGGCGCAGTGCAGGTATTGTTGACGTGGCAGCTTCTTGGTGAGGAAGTCAGTAGCCATGTCACCAGTGGGACAGTATGTCAGGTCCACTTTCCCTTTGTCGATTTCGTCCTTGACAAATACGTACTATCATAGAATAATGTGCATTGTGCGATTGATGAAGCCGGGCTTGTTGGCGATCGTGATTGAACTCTTGCTGTCGCAGTGTAACTTGAAGGTTGGCGAAGTGCTGAGCTTCGCCTCCTGTAGCAGTTCTTAGAGATAGATTCCTTTGCGAACGGTGGAGGTTGCTGCAATGTATTGTGCGTCAGCTGAGGAGACGACAATCAGCTCCTGTTTTTGTGAGTTCCAAGAGATGGGTCTAGTTGGTTCCAGTCGGAAGAGGAACCATGTGCGAGAGCGGCGGTTAGCGGGGTCTGCGATGTGGTCTGCGGCGTCGACGTAGCTGGTGAGTTGGAATGTGGGTGTGGTGATGGTGGAGTAGGTGAGGCCGATTTGGGGAGTCGAGGTGAAGTAGAGGAGAGCTTGCTGTAGACCTAGGAGGTTCTCCCCCTCATGTCGTTGAGAGTACTGGGCGAGCTGGCTGGCGATGTAGGATAGGTTGGTCCGGCACGTGCCGGCGGCAAACAGCAGGCATCGGAGCTGCTGCTGGTAGAGTTGGTGAGCTGCAGGAGCGAGCGTCTTGGTGTCAGGCTTGTAGCCGGTGGTGGGTGCGCGATAAGGCGTGGAGAGCGATGCTGGTGTTATGTTGAATTTCTTCGCGAGAGTCTCGGCAAACTTCGATGTGGAGAGGTGGATGGCCTCTGGTGTGCAGGAGATGTTGAGGGTGAGAAATTGAGTCACGGTCTTGAAGGTAGTGATGTCGACGCGCTGCCACAGGCTTCGTTTGAATTGGTCGAGCAGGTCAGGGTTGGTGCCGGTGTAGAGCAGGTTGTTGACGTAGACCGTGAGGAGGATGTAGTCTTCGCGGAACTGGAGACGGTACATTCTTGCATCGCGGGGTAGTTGGAGGAAGCCAATCTCCATCAGAATGGTATGGAGATGCTGTTGCCAGAGACAAGGTGCCTGCTTGATCGTGTAGAGTGACTTTTGCAGCTGGCAGACTCGTGGGTCCCCGTCGCCGTAGGTGTGAGATTGCTCGACGAAGATCAGAGCGTCGACCCTTGCATATAGAAACACATTTTTGACTTCGATCTGTCAGAGCTCGAGGTGCCGACATGCTGCAATGACGACCACTATATGGACAGAGGTGTGACGGTTGACAGGTGTGAAGGTGAGGTCGAAGTCAATGCCGTGGCCTTGGTCGTATCCTCGTACGACCCATCAAGCATTGCGGTGCATCTAGGTGCATCCGTTTAAATGTGGTAGACACATTTTCCATATAGTATATTTTTCCCCTTCACTGCTGCGCGGTCGACTAGGACCCATGTGTCGCGGGAGTGTAATGCGGCGATTTCCACATCCATAACCTTACACCATTCGGCATGATGCGGTCCGGTGAGAGCCTGTCGTGGTGTCTTAGGCTCGGTCATGGAGGGGCTCTTGTGGACTGCTGCATGAAGGCCGAGAATGTGAAGGCCGGAGAACCTGATGTTGCGGTGCCCGGCGTCGGCGACCTCTTGCACGTCGTCGTCCGAGTCCGCAGCGAGTAGGGATTTTGCGAGGGTATCGATAGTGGAGTCGCGGCGCAAGGTGTCGCGTGAGGGGTCGCGTGAGGGGTCGAGAGGGGCGTCGTCCACATCGTCATTATCGTCGAAGTGAGGGTTCTCCTCTGGGTGTTCGTTAGGTGGGTCCAGGTCTAGGCGGGCAGCGTTGGCTTCGTCTTCTGGAGAAGCAAAGTTGCGTTCTCCTTGCGCGTAAGCTGCTTGTCAATTGACAAGTCGGTCGACCTGGAACTGCTTCAAAGTAAGTCCTTCATAGAAGAGGGTGTCTCTGGAGGGTATGATATTGGTCCAAGATCGTCCATGCTTGGTACTCGTAAGAGATGCCGAGGTGCACCCCTCAGCAGGCTCGCCTTTTGACCTTGCCGGTGGTGGCCTGATAAGGGCGGTACTGGACCATGCAGCCCCAGACTTGTAGCATGGTGGTGTCAGCTGGCTTCCCTGTCTAGACCATATAGGGAGAGAGATTAGCGTCGTTGGTGGTGGTGGACAGTAAGTTGTGCAGGCGGACTGCGTGGTGCATTGCGTGGGGCTAGTATTCTGTGGGCAGTCCGGAATAGAGCATCATTGCCCGTACTTTGGTCTATAGAGTACGGTTGGTCCATTCAGAAACGCCTTGCTGTGGGTGAGCATATGGAAGGGAGAGCCTATGCTCGATCCCGATTTCTTGAAGATGGGTCTGTAGCGCCTCACTCCGGATTTCTCGTGCTCCATCCGTCTGCCAGTACTTTAGTTTCTTTCCAGAGTGGTGCTCAGCAAGAGCAAGCTGTGTCATAAAATATTTACTCCCCTTTTGTTCTGATTGTTGACTGCCTAGACATAGCGGGTGGCAGCGTCGATGAAGGTCAGGGTGTACTGCTCCATGTGGAGTCCGACATGTGTGAGGATGAGGTGGTCGCTGTAGACTATGTCCAGTGGTGTGTAGCGGATAGGACAGCGAGAAAGATCTTGGAATGGGCTGTGTGTGAATGCAGCTTTGGGGCAGACTGTGTAAGTGCGCGGGGCGTGGCTGATTTGAAGCTCATGCCTGTCTGAGTCTAGGAGTGCTCTAGAGGCGGGGTGAGTTGTTGAGAGTGAAGATGGAGGTGTGACCAAGACGTTGGAGCCAGATGTCTCCAGAGGTGCGATGTCCTCGAAAGCGTTGATAAATCATCAGGAGGAGGTGCTGGAGGTGTGTCTGCGAATGCAGGGGCTATGATGGCGAGAGCAAGGAACTCGGTGTCTATGAGGTATGTTGTGATCTCTCTGTCTCAAGAAGAGCCATTTGGTCCAGATGCGCTCTCGTCTAGCTCTTCAGGGTCTGTTGCCAGGCGAGGGAGGCGAGGCGATAGTGGACCTTCAATGGTTCCAATCTCTTGGGGATCAGCTTCGGCATTGGGTCCGAGTAGAGTCGGTGTTAGTGGGTGAGGACTGTGATGTTCGGGCGGTGGAGATCCATGGTAGCGCCTCTAGAGGAGTGTATTTTCCTCGTCATGGATTTCGTTGTACTCGGCCCAAGTTCCAAGGGCTTGAAGAGGGCGACCAAGGTGAAGATACGCATCTGGTGCAATTCTCCTCATCGTCTCCTCCGTTGTACCATTCATCGTGGTTGAGATGCCAACGTCCTATAGGTGGGTTACGAACAAAGGGAAGCCTCCGGTTTCTGCCCCATCCTTCAGCGGTTGGTGTATTGGGCCAAGGTTGTTGGGGAGAGATGTTGCCCTAATCAGAGTCAGTGTCTCTTACAGGGCCTTCTCCCCATGTACCTCTGCTTGGAGAGGGACCCTAGCTACTTGGTGTTCGGCAGGGCGGTGCACCTATCTCGACACTGGGTTCGGGGTTGGGAATTTGGGCTGTGCATCTGCTGCCGCTGCTCCTTCTGCTACTCCCTCTGCTCCCTCGGCTGCTGCCGGTGCTGCTGCCTCTGCAGCCTCTTCTCTAGCCTCTGCTGCTGCTGCCTCTCGTGGTGCTGATGCTGCGACCATGGGTGCTTCTGCTGCTTCGGCTGCTTCTGGGGAAGTTGGTCCATGTCGGGCAGCGATGGTTCCGTAAGAGCTTGCCCATACATCCATGTCGGATGCGAGTTTTGTGGCCAGGTCCGCTGCCTCCCATGGCGTGGCTCTCTCCATTTGGGGTTGAAGGCCATGTGAGATGCTAGTTCCCATGGGTTTGCTCATCCAGTTTCGTCAAAGGAGCCTGGTCCCACATAGACCAGAATTCTCTCCAAGTGTTGTCTTGAGTTGTGGGGTTTTTCCATGGTTGCTGGAGGGAGGAAGATGGCGACGGCCGCAGCAAATCTGAAGTTGTCATGCTGAATTATCAAGTTAGGAGGGACTCCATCTCGTCTTCTTCGAGAGTTTCGAGTCCTGTACAAGCGATGTTGCTGGAGGAGGATGTCCGTCTTCGACAGGTACAGCGGATGTCATCTGGTCCAGGATTGTGCAGATCTGACACAGATGGGTAAATGTGGTGAGTGACCCACGGGCGGCCGTCGGGGTGAGTCCACTCCTCATCCTGCCAGGCGATGTTGAGGGCGACGAGATCAATCAGCTCGTGGCTGTCCCCATTGCAGTTGGGGATGTCGAAGTCTAGGACATAGACTCCGTCAACGGCTACTGCCCTGCCGAGGTACCGAGGTGGGTTTACTAGTTCGTTGGGCTGATTTGGCTTCTAGTACTGTACCAGGGGGTGCTGTGTCTAGGGGTCAGTGCTGATTTCAACACTGCAAGGCATCAATTGAGTTGTCGAGAGTAGGTTGTAGCGTAGGTTCTGAATGATGAGTTCGTCGTTCAGAGTGATGTCTGTCAGGGTGTTGCGTGCCTGTAGGACAACAATGCCCTCGTGCTTGGCCACCAGCCATTCGTTCTTGGCGACTACAGTAACACATGCTACAGCAGAGGTTGGGACAGCATTGGAGATGAAGCGCGCAGATCCTACCATATGTTGTCCGCAGCAACTGTCCAGGTACCAGGTGTTGTAGTTGTCGCGGTTGTTGCGGGCAATCATTGCAATCCTCAGAGTCAGTAGGCAAGGGCTGTTGGACTTGTGCATGAGGTGACCCTTTGGGAAGCTGTCCCAGTCTTCTCTGTCAACTCCAAACGACGTGTCGGTGGAGTAGGGTGTCGGCTCCAGCAAGGGAATGGGAAGATTCCATTCCAGCTCCTCTTGATCGATCTCGTAGCTGCCATGTTCGTTGTAGGGCTTGCTGTAGTCGTAGGCCATTATAGCCGGGGCGAAGTCTCCTTCACTTGGGCGTGGCTGCGGCATGTGGCGATGTCAATTCGCTCGACGTGTGGGCCCCAGAATCTGCATCGGCAATGGGTGGGTTGAACATGTCGGCCTGGCTGAGTCGGACGAGGGTCCGATGGTGCTAGAGGGCGTGGGAATGGTCGCTGGTCCATGTGGGACGAGTGACTAGTCTGGCGCGGATCCTGGTGGGAGAGACCCCATTGACTTCCACTTGGGCTAGGCGTGTAGGATGGTCTTGCACTACTCCCCGCTCGGTTTTAGCAATGCTCAGTAGAGTGTCCTTAGGTTTTGCAGTGTTTGCAAAAGTAGCGGTAGCTCACGTGTCGTGGTAAGGCTCCTTCTGGCCCGAGTAGAAGGCAAGCCTCTCTTTGCGTGTGGCTCTCTCATTGTAGAGATCCATACCCTGCTGCTCAGCCAGCAGTGTCACGCAAAGGGTCGCTTAGGAAATTTCGCCCTGCTGGCGTAGTAGAGTCTTGCATGGTTGCTATTCAGGGGTAAGTTCAGCGAGTATGATCATCACAAACACGTCTTCTATGATAGTGTTCCCGAGCTTGACGATCTGGTCGCGGATGCTTTGGCAGCGATTGATATAACTGATCATCTTCACTTCTAGTAGTTGGCCGAGTAGTCGACTCGACGACACAAAGTCCTTCGGCTGATAGCGGTTTGCCAGGTACAGCCACGAGTCTCGTGCCGAAGTGGCACGTGTTTTGAACGACCGAATTTCGAGTTGCTTGGAAGCTGATAACTTCGATAAAATGACAATCTACGCCATGAGTGATTCGTTGCAGTATTGTCGTTGTGTGTCTTCGGTGTCGATCATCGATCCGGGGTAAGATCCGGCGAAGTAGCAGAAAATTAGAGCACTCTGCAGTAGTAGCTCGAACTCGAAACTCCAGGTGTAGAAATCGTGACCGTCGAAGATTGAGCTTGTTTTGAACTTAGAAACAGCCAAGAACGCCGATTGTGTTGTCTGCAGGGCTTCGTCACATAATTGTCTGTTTGCATGTGGTTGCGTGTTGGAAGCATCGAAGTTGAAGAAGCCAGAATTGAAATCCTTGTGTGCAGATGCAAAATTGTGTTTCAGTGGTTTGGCAAGCGGTGCTTGAGCCATCGATCTTGAGATACTGAAGTCCATCTTCAAGGGTTGTCATTCGCTGGAGTATTTTTTCGTGGAGTCTTGTGGGGACGGATGTCATTGCCGTAGGATTCGGAGGGTTTGCAGGTGTTTCAGGATAAGGGCTTCCTTACCTTCGTGATCCCGAGCCTGGGGCCATTCTATGACGGAAGCGAGTCATTGACAACACGATATTGGAATTTGAAACTGATCAAGAGTGTCGTGCGAAGGGTCTAACTAAGATGAACTTAACAGGGGTACATTCTCTAGAAGGTTCCAAGTTCGACTCGGGTAACTGTACATGATTAGGGTAACTGCCCATGCTGTATTACAGGGTCAGTTATGCGTCTTAGCTGTCGTGTCGGACCCTTGGACTTCTGTCAGCTCAAACGTCGGTCAACTGTCAACAACTATTGCACTTTGTGCATCGCGTCATAAGCTTGGACTCGACAAGGGTTACGGCTCGAGTTTCACTTTCAGGAATATAACCATTTCCTTATCATAATACTGCATAAGCCCATGGGCTTAATAAATGGCTGCGCTTATCTCTCGGTGGGTACGGTACGGGTAAGTAATTGCTTTGCAAACTCGCATGGTTAATTGTGTTAAGTAATTGATCTACCATGAGAAAGCAGAGTGAACCAGGAAATATGCTCTGATACCAGGTGTTATGAATGATTATTCAGAGTGCGCAGAATAAGAATACTGAGTACAGATGAAGGGTCTACCAATATATAGGCGGGGATTTCATAAGCGTATAATTATAGACGCGGTCAAAATAGCCGGAGGCGGCGCAAGCTAGATTCGGAGTGGCATCAGAATCGGACCGAGCTTGATCGTCCTAGATTTTGGGCGTACGCGAAGCAGTACAATCCGAGAATTAATAAAATTCCTTACAGTTGAGTTCATACTAGTTGAAGCCTTTGCATGAGCTGTCATTTGGAGCATAATAGTTCATAAGGCTTTAAGCCCGCAGCTTGAAATACAAGACAAACCCGAAACCCGGAACCCTTGGATATCCCAGGACACGCTCTCTTGCCGCAAGTTCAGCTTCCGCCATTTGCTTCTTCGCGACTTGACAGTTCACCTCACACTCGTCTGGTCTCTTCCCAGTCGCCTCGCCGCGTCTCTCTCGCTGCGGCGTCCTCCGCCACGCCGCCATGTCGTCGCTACGGAATGTCGTCAAGCGCAAGGCGCACAAAGAACGAGCCCAGCCGTACGCTCCGCTGCCGTCTCTCACCCCACTCACCCCCCCAACCTATAACCTATACCCCCCTCCCCCTCCCCCCTCCTCTCCCCTCCCCTCCCCCCCTGTCTGCCCTTCCGTTCGTCCTCTCTGTTTCCCGCAAGTATTCATTCTCTTCCTTCTCGCGGCAACGGCCGGTGCCCTTCGAGCGGCGTTGCCTGCGCACGCAACGAGCCGCAGCGGCTGCGGCTGTGACTGGTCGCGCGCTCAGCCGCGCACTCCTCCGCTGTCTAGCCTCGCTCAATCCCCCCCGCCCCACGCCGCTCTCCCCCACCCCCGCCCCGCTCTTCCCCGTCCTCCCCTTCCCCGCGTGGCGGCAGGCTGGCGCGGCGGCGGCTGGGGCTGCTGGAGAAGCACAAGGACTACGTGCTGCGCGCCAGGGACTTCCACCGCAAGGAGGACGCCATCCGGGTGAGCGGGAGGGCGGGAGACGCGCGGCTAGGGGGAATACGCGCGGTTGGGGATAGACCCGCGTGGGGGGGAGGGGAAGACGCGCGGGTGGAGGGAGACGCGGGTGACGGGTGAAAGCATTGACGTCATTGCTATGTCGCAACGTGCCATATGCGAGTGAGGGTGTTGAGACGATAAGGTCTCCCCGTGAGGCCATGGGTAGCGCTCGACCTGTACTTCTGCAACTCCCTTCGCCTCGCCCTTCCCCCCTCACCCTTCGTCCCTCGCCCCTCGCCTCGCCTTGCCTGCACTTGCATTCCCCTTTCATGCTGTGGCTAGCTCAACGGTCCTCCAAGTTTCCCTGCGTGCATGCGTGATGTGCGCATTGCATACTTGCATGCGTGATGTGCGCATTGCATACTTGCATGCGTGATGTGCGCATTGCATACTTGCATGCGTGATGTGCGCATTGCATACTTGCATGCGTGATGTGCGCATTGCATACTTGCATGCGTGATGTGCGATTTGCATACTTGCATGCGTGATGTGCGCATTGCATACTTGCATGCGGGATGTGCGCATTGCATACTTGCATGCGTGATGTGAGCATTGCATACTTGCATGCGTGATGTGCGCATTGCATACTTGCATGCGTGATGTGAGCATTGCATACTTGCATGCGTGATGTGCGCATTGCATACTTGCATGCGGGATGTGCGCATTGCATACTTGCATGCGTGATGTGAGCATTGCATACTTGCATGCGTGATGTGCGCATTGCATACTTGCATGCGTGATGTGAGCATTGCATACTTGCATGCGTGATGTGCGATTTGCATACTTGCATGCGTGATGTGCGCATTGCATACTTGCATGCGGGATGTGCGCATTGCATACTTGCATGCGTGATGTGCGCATTGCATACTTGCATGCGTGTCTGCGTGTGTGTGTGCCCCTGTGCCCGGCTGCTCGTGTGCGGCCACCAGTTGATGCGCGAGAAGGCGGCGATGAGGAACCCGGACGAGTTCTACTTCAAGATGGAGCACACGCGCCTGCACAAAGGCCGCCACACGTGAGCCTTCACCCACGCCACTCGCGGGGGATGAGTGGGGGGGTGGGGAGGAGGAGAGAATGGGGTGGAGGGAGAAGGTTGGAGGAGAGGGAGGGAGGGAGGGATGCTGGGCCGTAAGGGAATGGCTGAGGAATGGTAGCGAGCATTGGGAGGGAGGGAGGGAGGGGAGACTTTTGAGTCGACTCAAAAGTTGCCTCGTTACTATGTCACACAGCACTGTTTCTTCAGGGATGGTGGCGAACATTGGGAGGGAGGGTGGGGGTTGGGGGAAGGAGATGAGATGGTGAGACATTCTTTGCGCCACCACACGTGGCGTGAGCCACGTCGCTTGCATGGGGAGCGCTTTTGACGCTCGCACGGTGCATGCTACATGGGAAAGGCGGGGAGGGAGAGATAGGGTGTGGGGAGGATTACTGAGGGGGAATGAGGTGGGAGAGAGAGGGGATTGGTTGGAGGAGTGAGAGGAAGGGAGAGAAATCGGGGTGGGAACGTCTGAGGGATGGTTTGGAAAATGGGGGGAGCAGATGGTGAGGCATACTGGAAAGGACGAAGCGTGCGGAAGGGCTGATTGTTTGCGTGATAGGTTCTTGAGAATTCTCAGAATGACTCACAGAGGTGACATGAGGCGGGTGGAACATGACACAACCGCGCTTTCCGCTACATCGCACGTGCACTGCAACATGCCTGTGCACAATACTTTTGTCCATGCACTGTCATGTGCTGCCATGCACCGTTGTGTGCTGCCATCTGCTGCCATGACATGCACATCAACCCATCACCTGTCACTGTGCGTCATCAACCCGTGTCTCTCTCTCCCTCCCCCCTTCCCCGGATGCCATGGCTGGCGGCGCTGGCAGGCGCGTGGAGAAGGACGAGTGGACGGAGGAGGAGGTGCGGCTGATGGCCACCCAGGACATGGGGTACATCCGCACCAAGTGGCGCGCCGAGCAACAGGTGCGCCACGTGTCATGTGTGACATGCCACTTGCCCATGCATGATGTGCCATGGCTGTGCGTGGGCTGGGCTCTACCCGTGCCTTCCACACCACCTTCGCTGTCTCAGTTGACCACCTCTCCCTGCCGTCCAATCCAACCGTCTGCTTCTCTCCTGCGGGCCGGCCGGCCTGCCTGCCCTGTGTGCGTCCCTGGTTAGTTGTGTGTGACAGAAAGTGTAAAGGCTACAGGCGTCACTGCATCCGGTGGAGTTTTGAGGCGCCTCAAAACCGGCCTGCCTGCCCTGTGTGTGTCCCTGTTTGTGTGGCAGAAAGTGGAGCGGCTACAGGCATCACTGCATCGCGTGGATGAGCCGCACAGGAACCAGCACCTCGTCTTCGCACACAGGCAAGCCCCCATGCACCGCGCACCATGCGCCATGTGCCATGCGCCATGTGCAATGTGCCATGCGCCATGTGCCATGTGCCATGTGCCATGTGTGCCACATGTCCTGTGCCATCAATGAGCCAGATGCCATCGCATTGCATCCATCCTGTCCCCCCACCACCTTGCCTGTTCAAACCTGCAGTCCAACTATGGCGTCCCACTCTCCACTTCACCTCTGCTTTGCAACCCATTCGTGCACCACTCATGACTTACCGCCCCTCTCTCTACCCCTAACTCCAATTCCTTGCCATGCTTCCCGCCATCCCTGCCACCTCTCCCATCCTCTCTGGTTGCAGTGACGACAGCGCCTCAACCCCCTCCAAGCACCAGCGCCGGTCCTCCTCTCCTCAACGCGAGGCCACTCCCCCGCCTGTGACCAAGCCACTCAACACACGACTCAACCGGTACCCCTCCCACCCTCTACTGCTGTGAACATGCGCTTGCGAGTGTCCCTCATGCATTGTGCGTGCATGCACAAGCTCACTCACACACTGTTTGTTTCTCCCACACACCACCCCACGCCCTCCCATTCCCACTCCCACTCCCACTCCCATTTTCCCTCCCACTTCCCCTCCCCCTCCCCCTGCCCCTGCTGCTAACCTGCATTTTTTGCACCCTCGCTCGTCTGTATGCACATGGCGGCTATCCTGCTGTCCTTCCCCGTCTCCTCCATTCCCTGGTTACCTTTCTCGCCCTTTCTCCCGTCTCTCTCTCCTCCTCTCGCCTCACGATTCATGTCCCTGAGTGCGGGCCTGCGTGCATGCGAGCTGAACGAGCGCAAGCAGAGGAGTTTTTAGGCGGCTTTTGAGAATCCTGAAAAGCACCTGCTTTCTCCTCTCTCTCTCCTCATCCCCCCACGTGTGTGTTTAACCGCTTGCCTTCCTGCCTGCCTGCCAGGCACTGCGAGGCACTGTACGCGGAGCGAGCGCAAGCAGAGGGTGTTTGATTTGAGGTGCCTCACAAATCGTCTCATCTCATTGCATGCGCCTCTCTCCTCCTCTTGCATCTTCCCCCCGTGCCTGCCTGCGTGCCTGGCAAGCACCGCAAAGCGCTGGACGCAGGGCTGAAGGAGTGCAAGCAGATGGTGTTTGATGTGCCTCAAACATTGTCTCACCTCATTGTGTGTGCCTCCCTCTCTCCTCCTCCCTTCCCTCCCCCTCTGTGCTTGCCTGCGTGCGTGGCAGGCACCGTGAGGCGCTGTATGCGGAGCTGAAGGAGCGCAAGCAGAGGGCGCGGCGGCTGCACGCCATGCTGGACGAGATGGTGCTCAAGCAGCAGCGCATGGTATGGCGCCGTCGGTGCAGTGCGGTGCGGCGGTGGGTGTGCTGTGGGTGTGCTGTAGGTGTGCGGTGGGTGTGCGGGGTGTGTGCGGTGGGTGTGCTGTCGGTGCGCTATGGGTGTGCGGTGGGTGTGTGGTAGGTATGTGGTTGGTGTGCGGTGTGTATGCGGTGGGTGTGGTGTGGTGGTGTGGGTGTGGTGCCAGGGGGAGGGGGGGGGGCTTGATGAGGGCAGGGAGGGGAGGGAGGCTTGAGCATGTTGGGATGGGAGAGAGAGAGAGATGCAGTGAGAGGGGTGGAAGGGGAATCAGAAGGGGAGCACAGGGCACGCGCAGTATGCTGTGAGGTGCATGTGCGGCTTGTTGTAGATTGTAGAATGTGAATGTTGGACCATTGCTGCTGTGCCTGTATGCGGTGTTGGGGGGGGGGGAGGGAATTCGGATGCTTGATTCCGTGGCCCTTGCATTTCCACCTCTGCCCCTGCCCTGTGACATGCCGCTTTTCCGCTGCCCATTTACAGAGACTGGCCTAGACTTGGCTTCATGAGTCCGGAAAAATAGGGCATCTAGAGACAAAGCATGAAGGGGACCAACCAAGGTTGTCAGTTTTCGAAGACGCTCTGAGACAATGTCAGAAACTCTTCTCTTGCTTTGCCTAGTAATCCATGTGTCCTTATCCTCCCGGACTGTCTGCCCTTGCACAGGCGGATGGTCAACAAAAGAAGGATCAAGTGGGAGAGGATGGTGACGAGAAGCCAAAGCGGCGTACTGCCTCTAAACCAATCAAGGAGCGCAAGAGATGAATAGTAGAGAAGAACCATCAGTATTATGTTAATAGCATTGTAGCATCTTAGAGGTCCTGCATATATAATGTCATTAGTCAAGCTGTCATAAATGGATACTATTACGGCACAGCTTCAATGGATGGTCTGCATGAATGCTGGGATGGCTTGGTCTGTCCAGTGCAATTCTTTGATTAATTCCATGGTCGGTTCGGTCGTTTAAGGCGAGCCTGCAAGGTAGAGGTGGGCAAAGAATGTATGTTTATGCAAGAAGTCATAATGACCTTTTGTTTATATTGTGCAAGGACCGTGGACAATGACGGGGTAATACACGTCACCCTTTTTTTTAAAATCAAATTCACTGTTCTCCCGAATGCCAAGTAAAGGGAGAGACTTTCTGATTGGATGAGGAAGTCTCTGGCATTTACATCCATTGTGCGTCAGGCGACCACGACGACATACATTCTGGTAGCTTGCGAGGACAGTTTCTCTCGTCCAGTTTCGCCATTGGTCGCGTGGAAGAAATTCGTCCGTCAGCGAAAGATCACCTCCTCGCCACCAGTACACCCAGCTTGCCGCTAGGCACGTGGGACTCCATCTTGATTGGCCCTGCGATTTCGCCGGGGGAATGATTTTTTCCCGTTCATTTCCCGCGCACCGGTTAGTCAGCGTGGCAGGCACCAGACTGGCTGCCCCCCTGCCCCCGACCACTCTTGGGAGTTTCCTGCCCGCGCCACTCGCACACCATTCGCTGCTGCCTCCCTCGTTCGCCTCTCCCTCAATCACATCGCGCGGGCAGCCGCTCTCTCTCCTCAACTCCCGCTTTCCTTTCCTCCTCCCCTCGTTCCCTCCTCTCCCTTGTACAGTATGCTACTTTCCCCCTTTCCTCCGCCTCACACTCCAGCAATACCCTCAAGAGTAATTTCCGGGGCTCGTCTCACACTAGTGTCATACGGGAGACCCGAGTAGCAAAGAAAAACCTTGGGTCTTCCCATGCTTGACGGCTGTTTTGACTGGAAACACACGGTTAGCTGATAAACTTAGCAGCACACAAGTCGCGCTAACACATATCTAAAGCCAATGTACAGCTCCCAGCGCCATACAGTCGCACTTAGCTTTTCGCCTGAACATTCGCTGTTGCACGACCGTCAAAATAACAAGACTCGCAGTTGAATTCATATGACCCGCGGCTCCTTAGACCGCGGGTCAGCTTCGGGTCGTACCTGAGATGGGGAGGGGAATCCGCTCTCTAGAGATGGCAGCAAACAAGGACGACTTGCTACACTTATCCCGCGGTGATTTCACACCCTGAAATTGAGCGGCAGGAATTTTTGTCTCTACCCTGACCATTTCTGAGTGCGTAGACAGTACTCCCTTGTTCCTACGGCCTAAGCGCGGTAAACTCCACGCGGGCAAAAACTTCGAGCACTGCCTAAGATGATGTCGGGTTTCCTGACTCGAAAAACACTAAATCGAGAAGTAAACGTTCAAGGGTATCCGGATCTGGTCTTCAGGAGCTGCTTTTGGGGGGTGAATCTCCTTTCGGCGGCACCCTCTGTGAAAATATTGGGTGTTAAATTACCGCGGGCTAGGTGTAGTCGTGCTCTCGTCCCTGCTGCAACTCTCATAGCAATCCATTTTGTACCTCTTGCCTGATCCGTTGGCAGCCGTCAACGGAGCTCGCGCGTTGCTTGACATTTTAGGACACCACCGGTCTTCGCCGCACCACTCTAGAATATAGATTCTAGACATCAGCCTCAGTAGGGAGCGCCCAGCGACCAAAACATACCAGATCAGGTAGGGCATTGTAGGCACTTCAGCTCCGGAACTTGCTGGGCTGTCGAGGTTCTTGCTGGTTTCGGGCATTCAAGTTCTTCCTTGCGCCATCAGGCAGCAGGTCGGGTTAACTGCCTTGTCGCAGAGGTCACCTTCTCGCTCCGCGGTCAGCCAGCCATGAGCGGGAAAGCGGCGTACCAGCCGCCGCGCCCTGTGGTGTACCCGTCCCTGGACTGGCAGCTCGAGGAGTTCCTCGCGTCGCTGCGCGCCTCCGGTCACCTCGCCTCGCTCCGCGCTCTCGCGCGAGCCCGCGCGGAAAAGCGCCGGCTAGCCGTCGCCAAGGCGGAGCGGGACGCCGCAGTCGCGGCGGCTAGCGGGAACACGTCGAACAGACGGCGGGGAAGCGAGGGCGAGGAGGAGGAGGAGGAGGAGGAGGAGGAGGAGGGGGGGGGGTTCGAGTCAGAGAGGGATGAGTGGGAGCGGTGGACGCACCGGCACGCGGAGGGCGAGGAGGGGGAGGAGGAGGACGCGTCCACCAGCACGGACTCGGAGTGGCTCGACTGCGAGCCCGTCGACCCCGGCTTTCACGATGTCAATGGCGGCGCCCGCACTCCCAATGCCGCCGCCGGCACTCTTGCGCAGTGGGCCATGCGCCTAGGGGGAGGCGGCGGGGCGCGGCAGCGCGCGGGGCAAGATTCGGGCTTGGTGATAGGGTGCGACGAGCGGGGGGTGGGGAAGGACGAGCAAGGGCTGTACAGCAAGGGTAACAGTGCGAGTGCAATGAACGGCGGCGAGGAGCAGGTGGTAACGGTGGCCGATCTTCACGGCTTCCTGCAAGATCTGGCCGTTGACGACGACGATCTCGCCAAGGCCGGCTGGCGGCAGACGCTCAACCGCAAGACGGACCGCCTCTCGTGCCGCGCGTGGTCGCGGGATCCGCCCGGCGGCGGCCCGACGGTGTACCGCTGCCACATGGTGATCCGCGAGTGCAGCGCGGAGGCCGCGCGGGACTTTTTCCTGGACGAGGACTACCGCGCGGAGTGGGACGACACGCGCGCGCAGGGCAGCCAGATGCTTGAGGAGTGGGACCCGCAGGGCGAGTGCGTCGCGCGCTGGGTGCGCAAGTTCCCCTTCTTCCTGCGCGACCGCGAGTACGTCGTCGCACGTCGCGTGTGGTCGCTGCGGTCGCACACGTACCACTGCATCTCCAAGCTCACCGCGCACCCCTCCGCGCCCCCCCGCGCCAACTTCCTCCGCGTGTCCGCCTTCACGTCCATGTGGCGCGTCGCCGCCGTCACCGACGCGCAGCAGATCTCCGCCGTGTGGGCGCCCCCGCAGGAAAAGGCGCAGGCCTGCCTAGGGAAACCCGCGCAGTCCGCCAGCAACGACGGAGGCAGGAACGGCGTGTGCTGGAGGCAGGCGGGCGGGGAAGAGCGGGGGAAGGGCAAATGCGTGGAGTCGCGGGCGGCGCACGGGCAGGCGGACGGGGGGGATGCGGAGGAGGAGCGGGAGTGCGGTTGCAGGGGAAGGGCTCCAGCAGTGGAGCAGGCGTGCGACATTGTGACGATACACACGGAGGACTCGGGTGTGTCGCGCAACATCGCAAAGATGGGCGTGGCGCGCGGCATGTGGTCGCACGTGGTGAAGATGGAGGCCGCCATGCACGCCTATGTGAAGGCGGGGCGCAATGCGAAGCACTTGCTGCCCATGTTCCTGCTGCACGCCGATGCCATGCACGCCGCCTCAGGCATGAGACCGCTGTGAGCTGTGCGGTGTGGTGTGGTGCGGTGCGATGTGGTGGAGACAGCGAGTGTGGAGTGGCATGCTGTGTGCTGCAAGCCATGCTGTGGGGCAAGCCGGCTTTGACACTTTCATGCTCCTTTCGACACCCCCTATGCCGTATGCCTCGAGGCCCATACTCCATGCCCCATGTCGCATGCCGCATGCTCCATGCTTCATGCTCCATACACCATGCCCCATGCCGCATGTGACATGGCCCGTGCTCTGTGCTCCATGCTCCATGCTCCATACCCACATGCCATCCCCAGCAGTATACCCAATGGCCCTTTGACTGCCACACTGACCCACCATTCCCCATGCCTACATGACATTCCCAGCAGCATCCACGAGCAACCCAAACTAACACACGCCACACAGATTGCCCCAGGACCGCTTTTTAGACGCCCACCTGCCACCCACTCCCTCCCATCCTCGTCACCGTCTGACTGTTGAGCATATGTGATGGTCAACAACAATGGTCCAAGACCCAAGCCATGATCCGTACTGGTTTGAAAAACAAATCTAGACTGGATCCTGGATCGGGCGTGCGTCACTTCTGCTACTGTACACCGTTCTTAGAAAGGTTCATAGTCGGGCGCAAGCTCCTAGGCTTCTCACGCGATTGTATGTGTAGTAGTTCTTTGCTGTTTGACCCTTGTCTTCTGAATTTTGATTGCTGAACTTCTTTTGAGCTGTATTATTGAGAAAGCTTGCTACTTGTAGTGCAAATGGCATCGTTCTCATTCCACTGGCATCAAGTACAAAGAGTTCCCAATATATTCATATATTCGCATAAGCTTTCTACACTGGGAGGGATATGTGTCTATGCCGAGGATGATCCACGGAAGCGGTGCATGCTGAAGAGGGTAGACGAAGCAGGTTGGGTGGGCGGGAATTGAACTTGAGCTGGGAAAAAATGAAAAACGTGGGTGGAGGAAGAATGACCTCCAATCCAACCCCATTATATGGTTGGAGAAGGGCGAATAGCGCGCTTCGACAATGCCTGAGATTGCGTTACAAGCAGCTTCGCATTCACAATACGCAATTTTGAAAGTGTGAACACTTTAAAAATGACATATTGAGAAAGCTTGCTACTTGTAGTGCAAATGGCATCGTTTTCATTCCACTGGGTTGACCTGAGACATGGAGGGAGATGGATGTCGGTGGCGTGCAACAGCTCGAGAATGTTGTGCCGGGGATGATGCCGACCCGAGGGTCTGTACGTTGCGGGAAGCCGCAACCAGTTGGTCGACGGCGAGTGTGACGTACATTTCTTTGGCCGTGTCGCTGCGCCATCAGCCAAGACGTTTGAAGAGCCGGTCCGCTACGCCTCTGTGGGCAGCGACGGTCGCAACGCCTTTGCGAAAGGAGTGGGTGCCGAGGTGATGCTCACCCAGGCCGATGGACTAGAAAGCCTCCTTGCACCAGTTGTGTATGGTGGTGTATGATGGCGGCTTGCTGGTGGGGACGCCACATGCGGCCACGCCGAACACCCGGATTAAGGGTCCGGGAGTGGTGGGTCCATAGCCTGCCAACCGGATGAAGCGTTTGGTGCATCGGACAGGGCAGAGGGGTCCTTGGACGGCAGCAACAGGAACCCATGAGCCCTGACCTGCCTGGTCCGTTTTGGAGCGCGGGATGAGTAGCCACATTACGTCATCCTCAAACTGGATATCCTCCCAGTTGATGGCCACGAGATCGGAGTAACGCAAAAATCCGACGTACATGAGAAGGGGAATGAGACCTTTCTGGAAGGTGGCCGGGTCGTTAGCACCGATGAAGTGAGTAGCCATCTCGTGCAGTTGATGTAAAGAGACCGGTTCCTTGGTCTGATTGGGCAGGGGACACTGTCGCTTGGCGAATTCTCGAACTTGTGACGTGAAGGGGCCAGTGCGGGGGCAGGATGCCCCAATCATGCGGTGAGCGAAGCTGACGGCCGGGCATGTGAGTTGTATCACTGAGAGAGTGGCCTAATTTCGAATTGCATAGACAAGGTACAAGGCGAGTGTCATGTCTGCGGTTGGCAGGAAGGGAAGGTTGACATGCAGAAGGAACGGAATTGCTGTCAGTAAGGTTCGTAAGTTCGAATTGTAGAGTGTGCGCGCGTTTGTGCCATGACCGAGAGCAGCTCGCGTTGCAGGGTTGGGATTAGATCTGTTTGCGAGGGGAGGCAGACATTAGGGAAACGCGACTTGCAGAGCGAGCATGAGGCTATCAGGTAGACCAGAGCCGGAGAAGGCACTAGTGTGTGTGCTTGGGGCTAAGCATTGGCTTCCGTGCGTGAGTCGGATGTGAGCTTTGATGGGGCTAGCCCAGGCTGGCGGTGAGGGTTGGAGGAGTGGCCACCAGCTGGAGCTGGGCCAGTGGGGAAGTACCAGGGTGAGAAACGCGTGTGTACGTTGCGCATGGTGGAGGACGGCAGGGATAAATTGAGTGGGGGGAAGGCAAAGCCGTATTCTGCCGACCAAAAATGTGGTGGCAAGTTTCCCGGGCGTCGGCTTCCGAATGACGAAGGAAGATGATATCGTCCACATACGGTATGACACGCACTCCCCTTGTTCTCCAGCGACACGCGAGCTGCTTGATCAACTGCGTGAAGATGTATGGTGCTGTAGCCAGTCCGAACGGAAGGGAGCGGAAACAGTATGAGTGCCCGCCAAATTGAAAACCCAGGAATTTCCAACACGACGGGTGAATGTCGACGTGGTGATAGCCAGACTTCAGGTCGATTGAAAACATCCAATCGCCTGCACGCGCCAACTCTGCGACGCGACTGAGTCCCTCGTAGTAGAATTTGGGATTTTGCAGCTCCTGGTTGACCTTACGCAGATCGAGGATGAGACGACATTTGTCGCGCTGTTCCACAACGTTGAGAGGGCTGACGCATGTGAGTGTTGATTGTGGCACCTTTGCTGCGACGCTAGTTTGGAGGAGATCCGCGATGGCGGACTTCGTAAATGCCTCGTGAATTTGGGCCCTCACATGATTGGTGCTCCGGGAAAATTGTGGGGGCCCTTGTTTCCAAGGCATCCAGTAGCCTCTGTCAATGACTGATATGATCAAGCTACTGGTGCACCACGAACGCCACCAGGGTAGTGATCGCCCTAGCTCTACCCCAGTTATGTACGCTGACAATAGGGCCATGATACTCCTGTGTCAGGAGCCTTGACTTGAGGGCAGAATGAAGCACATCCAGCTGAGGTACTTCCTCTTGCGCGAACTGCAGCAGTGTCGCCAGGCCCGCGTAGTACACTTGGCCTCTGGTGCCAACACAGCTCAGCACCCAACCATGGTGAAAAGTGGAATTTAAAAGATACCGGGTGTGTAAGATTTGGACGGTGATTTAAATTCCATTTTTCACCATGGTTGGGCTTTGTTGCGCGTAAAAGATATGGATGTTGATTTAAATTCCAATTTTCATCATGGTTGGACTTTGATCAGATACACGCTTAAGTTCAAAACTTTGAGCACCTATATCCTTTTCTTCACGTGGAGCCAAGAGCTCTTGGTTTGTAGGTATGCTAAACAGCCCGAGGCCATTCCATTTTCCTGTATATGATGGGCATAAATGATGACAATGGTGATTTAAATTCCACTTTTCACCATGGTTGGGGTTTGCTCAGATACATGCCCAAGTTTTAAACTTTGGGCCCCAATATATTTTTCTTCACTTGGAGGAGAGAGTTCTTGGTCTGTAGGCATGCTAAACAGCCAAAGGCCCTTCCATTTACGCTAAAAGACTGGGCACAAAAGATGTGGATGTCGTTTCCACTTTCCATCATGGTTGGGCTTTGATCAGATACACACTTCAGTTCCAAACTTTGAGCACCTATATATTTTTCTTCACATGGAGCCAACAGCTCTTGGTTTGTAGGTATGCTAAACAGCCCAAGGCCCTTCCATTTCTCTGTATATAATGGGCGTAAAGGATGTCAACGTTGATTTAAATTCCACTTTCACCATGGTTGGGCATTGATCAGATACACGTCAAAGTTCCAAACTTTCAGCACCTATAACATTTCCTTCACTTGGAGGCAAGAGCTCTTGGTTTTTAGGTATGTCAAACAGCCCATATCCCTTCCGTTAAACCTGTATCTGTTGGGTGTGTAAGATTTGGACGGTAATTTAAATTCCACTTTTCACCATGGTTGGGTTTTGCTCAGATACCTGCTACAGTTTCAAACTTTGGGCCCCTATATCTTACCAGGCTGGAGATTTAGTACTGCTTGACACCCATAACATTAGACTGCCCATCGTCCCGAAACTTTGCGTCTGCTATTGTGGACCATTTACTATCAGCCGCATGACATCTTCCGTTACAGCACATCTACTATCAAAGCCCGGATATAAGACACCCATCAAATAGAAGACATAGTGACTTCTATTGTGACTCTATCTTATACACGGTACTGCCGAATTGAAGACACCCCCGAGGGTTTACGAGATAAGAACCCCCCTCCCCCCCCTCCTTCTTTGCACTTTTCTCACGGTAATCCCGTTGTAAACCCAAGTGACACTTATAATTAGGGGTAGACATGGGGGTATGGGTATTCACAATGGCAAGAAAACCACACCACCAGAGTGCTTAATTGATATATAAATAAAATGTGGTTGAGTGCTGAAGTTCATTTTTTTCTCAAGTGAACCACAAATTCGACACTATGGAGGCACATTTGACGAATGTTTCGTGCCTCCCCTCCTCCATGTGTGCTCGAGATGCTGCCACCTGGAATAATCGGACGACGAATAATTGTTTGTGCTTCCCCTTCCCAACGTGGAATTCAAACCAGGAATCTCGCTCGTTTTTCTTGTCGTGGCACTAGGATAGCCCTGTCGAACGTCTTCTCTCTCTAGGGAGGGTACTAGGGAGGCTTTCCCTAGGGAAGGTGGATATATGAAGCCTAACTCTCTTGAGGATACCCCTTCTTGTCCCAATGGTTAGGACTTGTGACTTTATGCCTTGGTATCAAAACGATCCATGGTTCAATTCTTAGTGTACACGCTATCCCAGCGGGGGGTTGTGTCGTGGCACTAGGATAGCCCTGTCGAACCTCTTCTCTCTCTAGGGAGGGTACTAGGGAGGCTTTCCTTGGGGAAGGTGGATATATGGAGCCTAACTCTCTTGAGGATATCCCTTCTTGTTGTAGTGGTTAGGACTGGTGACTTTATGACTCTTCTCCCTTTTGTCACCAAAAATCGAGAGTTTCTCAGAGCATGTATTTCATAAACAAGCATATACAAGTTGGTGTTTTATTTTTCTTTTTATTTTTCCATTTATAAGACATTCTAAAAATTCCCTAGGGTTGATATGATACGACCCATGAGTCTACTGTTACCGGCCACCTGAAACGGCAGCCCACCATTCCACGTAAGATTACTTTGACAATACGTCGCCATTAGCAGTAAATTACAACGTCACCAGGCGAATTTGAACATCCGACCGTTTGTCAAGCATACTGTCGAACCTTCGAAGGTTCTCAGCCATCGGATCAAGGGCCCTCGAGGGGCTCGCTTGATCGAGTTTCTAATATCTTGGAAGGACCGTACGGCCCTGGAAAACAGTTGGGTGCTCCTTGTCAACATATATATTATATGTAGATATATGTGTATAGGCTAGATAGGTGTACAGCATATCCTGGATCCTACAGTAGAGGGTAAAACCCCTTTTCTTGTATCCCTTTCTCTTTTAGTCCAACACTGTTCTCT